ATTCCCACATAAATTAAAATTAAAAAATAACTTGTTTTATTTTATAATTTTTCCATGTATATGTTGATTGCATAATAACATATATACCCATGCATATTAAAAATCTATATATAAAATATTTGTTTCCCTATGCATATTAAAAATATAAAGAATAAATTTTATTATTCCATTAAATTTTAAAAAATAAATTCTTTATTTTATAAATTATATATATATATATATATATATATTGAAAATATAAATAACACATATACTTCATATAGATTAATATATGTGTGACTGCATAACTCGTTACCCTATTAAAAATATAAAAATAATTATTCATGATGTATTATCTTTACATAAATTTAAATTTAAATAAGGGTTAATGAATATTTTAGACTCTAAAATATTACGTGAAAAGTATCCTAAATCCTAAACTTTTAAAATGTGAAAAAAGGATCATAAACTTCACTGTTAACTTATATTTAGCGCTGTTATTGTTCACTTAATGAGCTCCAGTCAAAATGATGATGCAGCAATCCCTTGTTGATGTATCATTTGTTAATATGTACCACAAGTCCTAAACTATTATACGAGTAGCATCCTGAACCTTGAATTTTAAAATTTAAAGTAAATTATCCCCTATTTAACGTTAACTGTTATGTAGATCAACTTGGTTTTAGTATGGTTTACTGTGATGAATGCATTATTGGCCGTGACAAATAACCTAAAATTTTTTGAAATGACATTTTTGCCTCTTTTTTGTAATATTTTTCAAATGATTAGTATCTCATGCTTTTATATACTCTATAACTTTGTTTAGTCTTATTTTAAATAATGTTTATTATTTAATGGTGAACTTAGGATCCCATTTAAAAAGAAGTTTAAATATCAAAGGATTTTAATAAACTAGTTAATTTGAGCTTGAAATCCATTGATGAAATTGTCGGCTTTCCATCCATCATCTGTAAAGTCCTTTAATACTTAAACTTCTTTTCGAATGAGATCCCAAATTTTTACTATTAAATAAATAAACATTATTCAAAATAATACTAAATGAAAGTTATAAAGTTTATGGAATAATAATATACTAATCATTTAAAAAAACATTACAAAAAGGGGCAAAAAAGTTATTTCACAAAATTATAGGTTGTTTGCTGTAACCAATGATACGTTTATTGCAGCGGATCATGTTGAAGCTAATTTGATTTACATAATAGTTAATATTTTACACACAAATGGTAAGGGTAATTTGCTTTGACTTTCAAAATTTAGGATTTAAAATGCTACTTGCATAATAGTTTAGGGTATGTGGTGCTCATTGACAAATGACACATCAGCAAGGGACTGCCACTCAGTGTTTTGACTAGGCCCCACTAATTGAACAGCAATGATGTTAAGTATAAGTTAACGATAGGGGTTAATTTGCAATAAATATAGAAGTTTATGATCCATTTTATACATTTTAGGAGTTTAAGGTTTAGGATGCTTTTTTCAGAATACTTTAAAATCCAGAATGCTCATTAACCCTTTAAATAATAAAAAATTACATTTTATAATTTATTATCTTATACATATGAAAAAAGCAACAAATTATTTTATTTAGAAATTGTTATTTCGTGCCCACATAAATTAAAATTTAAACAAAATTATCATTTTTTATTTATCTATGTATTTCTTCTACAATTTAGTATTTTATTCATATAAAAAATATAAGTTGCAAATTATAGGTCCAACACCTATTATTTTTGCTCTATGTCTTATATTCGTGTTAATTTTACATTATGAGTTTTACATCTATTTTTATTGCAAGTGCTGGATCTTTCAAAATTTTAAAAATTAAAAATTACTGTTCATCCCACTATAAATTTATGGTGGGACAAACGCTTTTTATATTATTATCTTATACATATAAGATATATAAGCACCAAATTATAGGATCTCACAATTATTATTTTTATTATGTATTACTATAAACCTTATCTTATAGTGGGACCCACCTAATAATCTCTAAAGTATAATTTTTTTGAAAAAGCAAGTTACTGTTCAAACCACAGTAGGACGATGTATTTTACAATATAGAAGATATTTATTGTTAATTTTTTTAAATTTATTTTTGGCTTTTTTATTTTTTATAATGGAGAGGAATTGTAAGAATGTAGGGCCATTATTGAAAAAAAAATAGTTGTAGGACCATGAGTAAAAAAGTTAGATGTGAAATTCAAAGTAAAATGAATAATAAATGTGAGAGTCATAATTATGTGAGTTATAGTAGAAAAGTGTGAGTGTGACTACACATATTTAATTTACATGAATTATAAAAATAAGTAAGTGTATAATTCAATGAATAATTTTTATTGTTTTAAATCTTAACTTATATAGAATAATAAGTTCTTCATGAAGTAGTTTTTAATTTCATTTTTAATGTCAAGACTTGACAAAAATAAGAGTAAAGTTTACTTGATAGATTTATTCCATTTTCATTGTTTACCGCCGTACAACTTGGATTGATATGAGAATCTCTATGTTGCTAATCAAATTTATTTATGAAATTCTTTTTCTAATTGGTATCATATGAAATTGAACTTTTAATTGAGTTAAAATAATTTTTATGTGATCTAAATAATTTTGCATGCATAGATTTTAAATGTACTTCACTTAGTCCAATTCCATTCTAACTTGTCATTCTAAATTATTCTTCATCCTCGAAAATTCATCTACCACAATGAGTTGTGAATGTTGCCCTGTAATAAGGATATTCTATATAAATGGAACAAGATTCCATAACTCACGAGACCTAATCCTTCCAAGTCAAAAGCTCTTATATCTAAAAGTCAAGATTCATATGAAATAGAATTTCAATTTTATTAATAAGTTCCTAAAGCAAGAAACTTTTTCATTTCAGAAGAGTATGAAAAACAAGAAGATAGAGAAGGATAATAGAAAAAGGAATGCTCACCATGGCACTCTGAAAAGAGGCAAAAAAAAAATTTCAAGAGAGGCAAAAAAAAAAAATCAACTCATCATTTCTTGAAAAAAGCATTTACAAGCACCGGTATTATATATCTTTAATTCCGTGATTATTAAATATTTATTTTACTTTTACTTTTATCAAGTCTCATTTATTTTTGCTTTTATCAAATTTATTTTACTTTTGCTTTTTCAAAAGCTGACATACATGCATCATTTTATCAACTTTAGCTTTTATTTTTAAAAAAAAATTGACGGAAATGTGCCCCTTTTATCACACGAAATATGGGAATTGCATTCGATGCCTATCGTACCGTGTGCTCATCAGGATCATCAGGATCAAGAGTAATGATGACTCTCTGTTTCATCCCAAATTAATATTTAGTGTTCATTTAAATTAATTTTTAAATATTTTTAATATTATATTTATTAATATAAAATTTTAAAATTTTAATACATCTATTCATTATTAATCTAATCAGTATAGATTTAATCTAGCAGTTCAATTTAATATTAAAAAAATTATAATGTTATAATTTGATTATATGAATAAACTCTATATAATTTAAATATAATTTAGATAACATAATTTAATACTAAAAAATTTATAAATTTTATAAATTAACCATTTAAATATATTTTAAATAGTCCAAATATAATATTAAAATTTTTTATATTTTTTATTTTAATAAATATAATATTAAAAATATTTAAAAATTAATTTAAATGGATGATAAGGATTAAATAAGGCTGAAATGGAGGATCAAGACTGCTGTTAGCCCTGATAAACATTTGATTCTTATCACACTAATGAGCATGGAATGCGGACGTTGAAATATGCTCTTTTCCTCCCATCATTTATATAAAAAAGCTTAAATTATATTACGACGTAAAGTTGGTTGAAGTGTTTAAAAGGAGTGTGCAAGCACTATCAACTAAGAAATTAAATCGGTGTGCTTTTTCTGTCTTTCTTCTAAATTTTTTATTCTATTTTAACAGCTTTATTGATTTAGTAATATCTTATTTTTATCCTACAAAAATTCAAGAATGTTTTATACTTGTCTTTATGAAGAACCTATACGTTACAATCCATGAGTGTGAATCATGTTAATATACTTAGAGATCCATAGTTTTTTGTATCAAGGGATTTAAGAATCTTAAAGTAGCCATGCTCGCCAAGAGTGGCATTCAGGATGCCTTAACACGGATCAATATTATCCCAAAATACAGTGCACGATACTAGGGCCTATTGCTCGAGATTTTCCTATTAATTTTTGTCGATCCAACATTTTGAACAAGTTTTGTGCAAGTGGACAAAGATCATAACACCTAATCTAACTTTTTCTTTTGGATGGGACATTATGGGAGACAATTGAAGACCAAGATGATAAAAAGCAGAAGACTTTAATTTTATTGAATTGACTCCTGTTTCCCATTGATTTCTTGCTTTACTAAATCATAAGAGCATTTGGGTTTTCTTGTCTAGCAAGGAGCAACACCCATCTCAACTAGCTACCATGGCAGCGGAGATATCATTTTCCTCTTCCTCTTCCTTCAGCTATGAATGGACTTATGATGTATTTCTCAATTTTAGAGGCGAAGATACTCGCTTTGATTTTGTCAGAAATCTTTATAATGCTCTCAATCAAAAGGGCATTCATACCTTTATGGATGACGAGGGGCTTAGAAGAGGAGAAAAAATTACTCCATCACTAGTCAAAGCAATCCGAGAATCAAGAATTGCCATTGCTATTTTCTCCAGAAACTATGCTTCCTCTACCTTTTGTTTAGATGAACTTGTTCAGATCCTTGAATGTATAAACTCAAAGGGACGATTGGTTTTGCCTATTTTTTATAATGTAGAACCGTCTGAAGTACGACATCAAAAAGAGAATTATGCAGAAGCATTCGCAAAGCATGAGACAAGGTTCGAGAATTGCGACGAGGCGAAGGTGCAAAAATGGAGGCAGGCTTTGCGAGATGTTGCTAATATCTCTGGTTTTGTTTTTAGACCTGGGTATATTTGAGTATTCTGCTTCTCTTTCCCTTTATATATGCTATTTGTTTATTCGATGTTGATTGTTATTGTCATTACTCATTATTCGTATCTAGGAAAGGCCAAGAAGCAGGGATAAAACATTAACACAAATTATGGCTCAACAAAATTTCAAATGAAGTTAAAAATCATGTAGTTTGTCTGTTTTCAGTGTTAGGATAGTCAATACAATATTAGTCAAAAGAACGCCGGTACTTGTTAGCTTTTGTATGTCATTAGAGATGAATGAAACCATAGCATGTGCTTGTTCATGGCAGAAGTAGTTTTATTATGGTGCACAGATTATTTGACGGCTAATTAATATCTTATAAGTTTATATCGAAAGGGTTAAGAAGCATGAAAATTGCAAAATATGAAGAGTTTAAAATATAAATGTCATATTTGAAGTGGTGTATTATGTCCATATTAAATATCATAACTATAGTATATAAAAAAAATATCATAACTAATTTTATGGCCCACTAAACACCGAAAAATAATAATAAAAATAAAATAGCAACTTGGAGAGCTAGACAATGCAGTAGAAGCTTCCAAGCAAGAAGAGTGGCTTGTTGAGCAAGCACATTCTTCACCTATAAATAGGATACGTAGATAAGTCATTTGTGCATCAAGTGATGAGTGAACATAAGGAGAAAGAATTGGCCCAAAAAAAAAAAAAGAACATAAGGAGAAAGAAGAGAGAAGAGGTTCCATGAGGTAGTGAGTAAAAAAAGTAGAAGAGAGGAAAGAGAGGGGGGGGAGGAAGAAGGGTGGCTGTAGAAGGGAAGAGAAAGTGAAAAGGTTAGTAGCTTGGGGTATATTGTAATTTAAGTTTGCAATAAAATTTTCGTGTTCATTAGTCCCTCTTCTCATTTTCTTCAAATATTTTGGATCTTTCCCGCTTATAGATCCACTGGTTCATATATATGGTTGATTGAATGTTATGTATTCATGATGTGACATAATCAGATAGATACGAACTTTTTACCAAAATTTGTGATTGGGGCAGGCAAGAATATGAATGCCATTTTATTGAAAGGATCGTGAAAGATGTCTCTATGAGGATCAACCGCAAACCTTTACACATTGCTGATTACCCAGTTGGAATCGAATCTCGAGTGCAGCAAGTCCAATCTCTTTTGGATGTTAACTCTAATGAGGGAGTCCAAATGGTAGGGATTTGGGGCACTGGAGGAATAGGCAAATCAACAATTGCTCGAGCAGTATGCAATTCAATTGCTGACCTATTTGAAGGCTTCTGTTTTCTTGCTAATGTTAGAGAAAACTCACAAAAGCGTGGGTTAGCGCATCTCCAAGAAATGCTTCTTTCTGAATTGATGATGGATGAAAATATCACTGTAAGATATGTCAATAAAGGAATTCCAATAATAAAACACAAGCTCCACAGAAAGAAGGTTCTTATAGTTCTTGATGATGTTGATGAGCTAGAGCAATTGCAAGCGATTGCTGGGGGACTTGATTGGTTTGGTTCTGGTAGCAGAATCATTATAACAACAAGGGATAAGCATTTGCTAGCAAGACATGGTGTTGATAGAATTCATGAAGTTGAGAGTTTAAATCAAGAAGAAGCTCTTGAACTGCTCACTTGGAATGCCTTTAAACAAAATAGAGCCGAGCAAAGATACTTGGATAATTTAAATAATATTATATTATATGCCTCTGGTCTTCCATTGGCTTTGGAAATTATAGGTTCCAGCTTGTTTGGTATGGGAGTAGAATATTGGAATTCTGCACTAGAAAACTGGCGAGTAACTCCCAATCAAAAGATCCAACAAGTACTCAAAATAAGTTATGATGCTTTGGAAGAATATGAGCAGGAAATTTTTCTTGATATTGCTTGTTGCTTTAAAGGAGACACATTGGAATATGTCACAAGCACTCTACTGGCTTCTCATGGTAGATGCCCAAAATATGCTATTAAGGTGTTAGTTGATAGGTGTCTCATAAAGATTTGTCGTGAGGATAAATTAAGCCTTAGGCCTTCCGATAGCATTGTGACAATGCATGACTTGATTCAGGATATGGGGAAGGAAATTGTTCGGCACCAATCACCAAATGACCCTGGAAAACGCTCTAGGTTGTGGTTCACCAAAGACATTGTTTCCGTTTTAGAAGAGAACGAGGTAAGTTGATCTGAGAGGTATATACATGTATTTGTTATTTTTAATCATTTTGATCCTTTTTACAGTTAGAGTGTTCTGTAGTTTTCCTAGCATTAAATCTTCCGCTCAAGCAACCCCAAGTGCATATATAACTTGTGTTTTCTCTTCTCTTTTCTTGACTGACCTACTATATACATTTGAAATTGGGTAGAAGTGTACATTTCTTTTCAATTCTTGACACATGTAACAATTTTTGTGGTTCACTTATGTTTTGGTTTGAAAGGGAACTAAGAAGATTGAAGTCATAAATCTGCACATGCTGGAAGATGAAGAGGTTGATTGGGATGGAATGGCCTTCAAAAAGATGTCAAACCTTAAGATGCTTATCATTAGAAATGCACAATTTTCCACAGCTCCCAAGTATCTCCCAAGTAGTTTAAGAGTGCTGGAATGGAAGGGATATCCTTATTCATCTCTACCTTGTGATTTCAATCCCAAGCAACTAGTTATCTTAAGGGTGCCTGAAAGTCGCCTGACACTGAATACACCACTCAAGGCATGTATACTATTTCCATTGTTCAACAATTAACGTTTTTTTATGAAGCATAATAAAATGTAGGCATGTGTCGAACGTCCACACTGATGCAATACACAACATGATACTTTCCAATTACACGTAGATTCTTTAGATTTTATCTATGTCATGAATGGTGTGTGTATCATTGTTTTTGCTTTTTAGTGTTGTATGTTATGATTATAGAATACTAAGTGTTGTTATTTTTAATATTGTTTTGCAGAAGTTCCGGTCTTTAACTATCATGAATTTGAGTCGCTGTGAATTGTTAAGAGAAGTTCCTGACTTATCTGAAGCGCCAAATTTGATTGAACTATGCTTGGATGGCTGCATAAATTTAACTAATGTTCATGCTTCCGTTGGTTCTCTTGATAAACTTAAGAGGTTAAGTGCTTATTATTGCAAGAAGCTCAAGAACTTTCCAAGCATCTTTTTGAGGTCTCTTGAATTTCTTGACCTCTCAGAGTGCGAGAGCCTTCAGACATTTCCAGAAATATTAGGAACCATGGAAAATTTAAGAGAAATGAATCTAACACACAGTGGCATAGAAATATTGCCATTGTCAATCAAAAACCTCATTGGTTTAAAAGAATTACATCTTACAAGGAAGTTGCGGCATCGGGGGGTTAAAGTAGATGAGATTTCATACTCATATTTGAATTCTGTGTCTCTGAACATATTACTCAGTCAGGTTGACATCTCTCTCTCTCTCTCTCTCTCTATATATATATATATATATCATACTTTAGACTGCTTTTTCTATGGCTTCCTACAAAACACTTCAAACAGAAAAGTTAGTGCCATCATATTTAATATGCCTATTTGATAATACATGACATGACATGACAGGAAGGAGGACACCAAGTTTTGTATTATCTTCTTGTTGGAGAAATCTTATGTGGATCTAGTTGATTCATTCTCTTCTATGTACGATGCTTAAATATAACAGTAGCTTACGTTTACTATAGGCATGAAAGAAATAAAAAGTTGTGTTGTGTTATGAAAGAAAAGGAAATTCAGTACTCATAAGTTTTGCATTGTTTGTGTAAATGACTAAAAAAAACTATTTTAGAAATAAGTTAGTTCTCAAAAATCATCGTGGATGTGAGCATGCTCATCACATTAAGAGCCTTCCACTCTTCAATATTATCTTTGCATAAAATTTCAATAAAGAGTTCACTCCCACTTTTTATTATCCTATACTTCCAAATCAATATGAAATGGATATCACCTCACTTCACCTTAGCCACTCAGTATCTCACTTCACCATCTTATTTGTATCACTAGATACAATTTTTACATGTTACATAGAGTTTGAGAAATGAGTCGCACTCTTCGTTTGTTATATTTTTAATTATATGTATTGGTATATTGATTTCATCCACAGCTAGAAACTTGTAAATGGAAGCTTTTTCTTTTTTATGGCAAACAAAGTTCAACATCTCACCAATGAAGGGTTTTCAAGACCCAAGTGAAAGTTCTCTCAATATCTTATTCATTTTGTATCACTGACTGCATGTTTGATACGCCGAAAAGTATTTTCTAAAAAGGAAATGGGAAATGTACATAAAAAGAAAACAGATAGGTGTATTTTCCATTTCCTTTCTAGAAAACACTTTTCACCCATCAACCATTGCATAAGTCTCCCCTCCTTTCTCTCTTGTGAGGCATAATGACTCGGTTCTTATTAACGTTTTCCAATTAATAGGCATCTCACGAGGTTGATGGCTTCAAGTTTATAATAAGAGGAGACAGACCTCCAAAATGGTTTGACCATTATGCTCTTGGAGATTCAGTGTCTTTCTGGTTCCGAAGAAAGCAACTTCCCAACGTGGCTGTGTGTTTTGCAGTATCGGCAACTAGAGATGCACGTCACGCCCCATATATTATACTAATTTTTAATGTCCAAATCAATGGCAAATCTTTTGACTCTCTTGCAAGATTTGATCAAGATATTGCATTTCAAAACTTCTATTTGATGGATTTGCAAAACCTGATTCCTATGGATGAGCTCAGTAATGGAGTTTTGCAAGATGAATGGAACCATGTGAAGGTTTCTTGCAACATGTTTTCCATTGCTTGTGGAATTGGTATGCGACCTCCACCAGATGATGCTGTCTATACAAGATGGAGTGGAATATATGTGCACAAGCAGGGATCTAGAATGGAAGATATCAGATTCACGAATCCTAATGTGGAATCTTTTTTCGCTGAGTTCTTGGAAGGATCTTCGTCAAATCCCAATACCATGGGTAAGTCATGAACCCTGATGAGAATAAAGATGTGTTTGATGATGTGCAAAAGTGATAAGAAAAGTTGAATACAAATGCAATGTATGCATGGGCATTTTTAAACAAGTTTGGTACACAATCCAATGTGTTTAAATATAAATCCACCTCTAACCTTAGTTTGGATATAGAGAAAAATAAGGACGAAATAATGTTAGAAGAGAAAACTCTTAAAAATTATTTTTTTACCATTTTTAAAATTTTTCCTTCCTAAGTATTCTCTCCTTCCTATTTTTATTCCATTTTTCCCTCCATCCAAACCAAGCCTAGAAATAAGTTGGGAAAATGGATGCTTACATTTTGTCAACCCATAAAACAAACACACTCAAATTTGACACACAGTACGTTGTGCTATGCTCATTCTGTAATGTTTTTTTCCCTGGTATTCCTTCTTCTTGACTTTTTGGTTTTTTGAACCATAGCTTTAAGATGAAAAAATAAACATATCAAGGATAACCCAAAGTCATCTAGTTGTACAATTGAGTTTTTTTTTTTTAAATAATAAAGTGTTACATAGTAGATATTGGACTTTTTCCATGAACAAATTATGGAATATTAGGATAAAAAGAAAAGTCAATTGCATGCCTAGATGATCTTGGGATGTCTTTTTTTCATCTTTAAGCTTCATGTTCCCAAAAAAGGCAATGAAAAAAATTAGGTCATCATCATGGGATTTAATTCAGGATTGAGAAAAATATGCTTGAATTGTACTAGCAAGTCTAGTCAGGCCTTGAAAAAACCAGCAATGTGAAGGATTGGTAGAGACTACCATTCTACCAAGCTATGAACGCTGGATGGTTGTTATAGAATTGATCTTATTCAACCATAATCTTGACTGATTCAATGACCAATAAACTAGGAATCTCATGCATGCTGGTTTATCTTTATTTCCCTATTGATGTGAGAAAGATATGTGTGGATAGAACAACTTAGCCCAACTTTTAATTTATGTGCCTTGCTTTTTGCATCATCTAACACTGGATGCATCCATGGAGAGGAATATATTTTGCTGTATTTTTTACTCTTAATTATTTATCTTGTGATTTCACCGTTGCTCTTGCTGGGTCTCACGCAGGCTAATTTTAAACTACATTTTCACCTCATCATCATCGCAATCATCATGTCATAATTATTGTATCTTTAAATTTTAATAACAAGGGAATATACATTTTTTTTTAATACTCAGTTTCCTATTAAAAAAATTCATGCTATTTTGGTGTATATTTGTCATATCTTAAATTATTAGGCCAATTGAGGTCTAGCATATTTCAATAGCGTAATCAATCAATTATGACTTGATTCTTCTTCTTCTTCTTCTTCATCACCATTATTGTATTTTGGGTGACACCGTGCAACTTATTCTTATTTTATTTTGCAGAGGAATTAATCCGACATTGGACGAATTTGTTCGTGCAGGGAAGAAGCTTAGACGAATTTAATGATGAATTTAGTAATTATGGACGCATGGTGTAACTGTCTTGTGGTTCCGGTCATTCCGATCAGAAAAAACTCTCTTGAAATTCTGATTTCTTTCCTCTCTTTTGTGGTTGTGTGATTTTTTTTTTTATTATTAAAAGACCACGGTTAAACTGTGCTAATTGGCAAAATGAGTTTTATCAGGGTACTGGTTGTGTGATTTTGAATTACGCCGATGGAGTAAATCTATATTTGCATGACTACTTTTCAAATTTTTATTCGAGTGTCTTTAGATTTTTTATCCCTAAAGTATGTACCTGTAGAGAAATTTTTTGCATAAATTTAATATATCACATCATTTATACACTATCTAAGAATTAAATATAAATTAATTTTATCATTGATTATAGAAATACGAAAAGCAAGAATTTTAGGAGTCACTCTCAATTTCAAGGTTAAAATGTACTTTCAATCTTTTAATTTTATAAAATATTTTTTAGTCTATTAAATCTAATACTTTGTTTCAAATAATTAATTTTTGTCTCAATCAGTATTATTTTAAAAAATTAAACTTACTATATTTACATTTCATAATATTTTATTAATATTTAAAAGCTTAATATAAGAATTTTTTGTTCATGAAATTAAACGGCATTAGAATTAAAAATAAAAAAATACTTAATAAAATTAAAAGATCAAAATAAAATTTTATATAAAATTAAAAGATTAAAAGTACACTTTAATTTTATTTAAAAAAAATCATTAAAAATAATAACACATACAATTTTATTTGATTGAACTAATATAGTTTTATTGAATAAAGCATAAATTAAGTAATAATATTACTCGTTCATGCAAGAATTTCTCTGTACCTCAATTCATTTTCTGTTTATTCTCCAATTTATTATCCTATAATACCTTATCTATTCATCAGTCTAACAGTAATAGTAATAGTAAATACTATACAGTAACCTTTCATCATACAAGAGTATGAGTACACAAAATACTACAGAAAAGCACAACAGCCATTACTGCTTGAATCTTGATCCAACTAAAAAGTGCCTTCTCAAACTAGTCAAACGAAACAGGACATATATAGGAGTTCTCATTAATTGTCGCATTACACTGATAAAAGTTATAGAAGAAATAAGCACGTTTACAGAAAGGGTACCAAATCCACTCCTTTCATGGCTTTAAAATCCCTCCTTCCATGATATTTTCATGCTGCTTTCTGCATTATGATAATGCAACGAATTTAAACACACCAAATGAGTGTTGAAACGTTAAAGACTAGCAAATTCAAATGTGAGGGGGGCATCTCACACCTGCATTGGAAGGTACAATTTGAATTCGGGTGGGAGTTCCTCTTCGGAGTAGAGGCGATCGGAGAAATATATCCTTCGCAGGCGGCAGTTTGCGTGGACCTGAACACGCAGAGTCTCCATGTAGTTAGTGCCATAAGCTCTCTTGGTCAAATCAACAAGATTCAACTGGATTTGATTCCACCCGTCATCCATTTTCAGTGGCATGGTGCAAATGTACGGCTTTACTCGAGTCACAGCCTATATGATATGGAATCAAACAACTAATCACTTGTGTGTATCTTTGAGAAAATCTATATATAAGATAAAAAGGTAAAACTCTAACAAGTCACACTATTCATGAGCTATGAACGGTATAATCACTTGTGTGTATCCCTGAGATAATCTATATATAAGATGAACAGTAAAAACTCTAACAAGTCACACTATCCATGAGCTATAAGCGGTATAATCACTTGTGTGTATCTTTGAGAAAATCTATACATAAGATAAAAAGTAAAAACTCTAACAAGTCACACTACTTGGAAGAGTAAGCGATGTTCATGAATTAATTTCAACGCAGACGAAGGCAATGAGAGTAAAGATGTCTTAACTCTTTAAAATCAAGAGTCTTCTCAAACTTTCTAACAAGTACAAAGTCATCATGCCAAAGTATTACTAATCAGAAAATCCTATATGCTAAAATCAATTATGAACCTAAAACCATAGTTCTCTTAAAAATATCCCAACACCCCTGCTACTTGCTAAATTCAATTATGAGCCTAAAACCTTAGTTTTCTTAAAAATATCGAAACACTCCATACATGCCAAAATCAATTATGACCCAAAATCATGATTTATAAAAAAAGTTTAGATATATTTTTACAAGACCATGGTTTTAACCTTTCTGAATTGTTTGTTTGCTCTGTTTGCTCTGATCCCAGTAAGGGAGAACGCCAAGATTTGCTAGTTCAAATGATCTCAGCGTAAAAATTTTTTTTTTAAAGAAAATGCCAAAAAAAAAACATGGTTTTAACCTTTAAAATTGATTATTTGATGTATCCAAACATGCATTATGCAGGATAAGGACACATAATCAGGCACAAAACACACAAACGAGAATTTGTAAGCCTGCAAAATCTTTAGGAAAACCAACAAAAAAGTACAAACATGGGCAAACTTACAGACTTGGAAATTTGAAGCCCGAAATCGTCGTCTCACATTCTTATCGTCCAGAACTTGAATCTCAAATGTAAAATACTTCTTTAGATTCTTCACAATCATAACCACGAATGGAAGTTTTATACCAAGTGTTGCAGCTGGATCTGCAGGACATGTGATGTATGTAGATTGGATATTGGATCCAATTATTTCAAGTACATTGGACTGTATGTCTTCATCCTGTGGTCGTTTTATATGGCCATTGACAACTATGGAATAAACCCCGCACAATATATGAGTCACATGGCATTTTAATCTTGTATAGATTAGGAGGAAAAAAAAAAACATATCCTCAAGCAAATCACAGAAAAAATTGCATCCTTATTTTCTCAAACACCTTATTTTGGTTTTTATTGAGGTGTTAGGTCACGCTTTTTTTAAAAAATAAAAATAGTAATAATAATAATAATAATTTGTTTGTGGGCCGTAGCAGATGCAGTTTTTTCTATATTAAAATAGAACACAATATTCATATGACAATAAATGAATTTTAATAATGCAGAAAAAATTGCCATCATGACTCAACTTCCGGATAATTGTGAGACAATTGATTGCAAAACTAGCTATAAATAGTATCACTTGATACTGCAAACCATAAAATACTCACCTTCTTTATCCCATATCTGCAGAGGTTTACTCCTATAAAATCCAAGCAAATAAAAATGTCAACATCATCTTGTAAAACATTCCAAATTGAACTTTGAAACAAGCATTAAAGACCAAAAAACTACATACCCAAGGCTGTATAAGATGGAAAGAAATCCAGACTGGAATGTGTTCTTGAACATTTTCTGCAGTATCATAAGCCAAAGTAACATCAACCCAACAAAAAAAAAAATAAAATAAAATCCCAACACTGGCTTTCCATCCCCCACCCAAAAAAAAAGTCCCCTTCACAATTTTACCAACAACCTCACCAACCAAATAACAGAATCTACATGGATTAACAAAAGTATACTGTTACTGGAATCTAGGGGTGCACAACAGACAGAACAGACTAGGTTAGTGCCTAACCCATGGTCTGGTCTGGACTGGATTGGAAAAAGCTTCAGGCTGGACAAGGCTATCCATGGTCTAGTCCAGCCCAACCACAGCCCAACACCAAACTGAGCTGAACTTGGTCCCCCAAGTTGGGGGATTGGTCTGCCAGAACAACGATCTCCCCTCCCCACCCCACCCCCACCCCCCCCCCCCGGAAAAAAAAAAAAAAAATTGGACCTTTACCACGTGAAATGGGACAAAATTTTGTTTTCTCTGACAACGTAGAATACGGAAAAGGGGAAATTTTACAGAACAATCAGCCTAGAAACTAATTCCATAAAAGAATACAAGCGCATAGTTTGGAAAGAAATACAAATAGAAGAAATGAGCAGATTTCAAGCATTAAAATTGAGCAAGTATAGTTGTAAACTTTTGGATCAGTCTACAAACTACACATAAGTTCCTTCGTAGCAGAAGAGACCTCGTGCGATATTTACACAAATCCATCACAATCTTTCTAGTATTTCCTCCTCTAGCCAAGTAACACAATAGTTATTATTCATTAAAGGTTCACCATAATCATTTGTACATGATTCGGTAGCATCAGGATTATGGTAAACATCAATAACATTAGTAATTCACAGGTCTCAATATTATACAAGACACAAGTATTTCTATTTTTATCAATGCAACGAAATTTGCTGGTTTTCACTTTCTTTTTTTCCTGATGCTCGATACAATTTCCTTGATCGTTTCTCCTCAGTGGGGGCATCTGCTGCCCCAACTGAAATCTTTAAAACATGCATAGCTGATATCATACCCTTTTTATTTTTGTTCCAGATGCTTTAACGAAGATGCCTTAGCAAGCCAATTGATTCAGGCAACTACTCCAAGCCACTGAAGAATGACAATGATGACACTCCAGCAATTTATGGTCTTTCAATTAATTAAAAATGAAAAATTATATATGACAAAGCAAGAAACGGTGCTACCGCGTCCGACGCGGGCTTGACAATGAACAGATGAAGCGGGGAACAAATTCAATTCAAAGGAACAAATCAATCTCACCGGATTTTGGCAGAAGATGGGGCTCTAGGGTTTTGCCAGACAATAACCACGTTAGGCCGAAAAAGTGGACGGCGTCCGACGGCGAGCTCGACAAGGGCAGAATGCCGAACAAAATATGAATCTGCTATTCATATAACATCTCGGACGTCCAGACGGGAAAGTGTTTTGTTGGGTTATATAATACTATTGGGAGAATTAATACAAGTCTTATAATTAATAATTAATAATTAGTTACTTTTAAGTCCATTAATAACTGATCTTTAAGAAAATGACAAGGTAATTCTCCCAATGTTAAAATTAAGGACAGTTCGTTTAAGTTTCTTTAATAAAAAATTGTTTTAAAAAATTTTATATTTGTGAAATAATTAAGTTAGGGGTAGAATATTAGAAAGTTTGAGTCAGCTTCTCTCTCAAACAAGTAGACGAAAAATGACTTGGTACTCAAAAAAAAAAAATAAAAAAAAAAAAAAAAATATGGCCTTCCGTGAGGGTTTGGGTAATCACATTTTATATTTGAGAAATAATTTTGAATAAACATAACTTTTAATTCTTATATTTTACTCCTATTTTATTTTTAATCCTTATACATTTTTTAATATTTTAGGTTTTTATATTTTTATTTTTTATTATTTTCAATTCTTTCAAAGTTTTTATATTTTGCTTATAGAAGAATCAAAAATAATAAAAAATAAAAATGTAAAGATTTGAAATATTAAAAAAAATATAGAGATCAAAAATAAAATATGAATAAAGTATAGGGACTAAAAAATTATATTTGCTCAATAATTCTTAACATGTGATATGAGAAAAGTTATTTGGATATGTATTATTGAAAAGTACTTCTTAAAATAATTCAGATGTGGATTTATAAAAATAAATTAAAAAAGGATTTCAAATGTAAATGGAAATTGGGGGGCATTGATGAGGAGAACAAATAGGTGCTTAATTTTATAATTAACCATGCTTTTCTCATATTTAAGTGTGACTTTTTACAGAGAGTTCAATTGAGTTTGCACTTCAATTAATTAAAGATTATATACTTGTTTATACTATGCAGGTAAGTGTTAATTTATGAATTATATAGTAAGCCAAAATAAACATATATAATTTGCAATAATTATTTAATTAAATCAAATTATTTATCCTCTGTATTTTAAGAGAGATAACCTATTGTCAACATCGTTTATTCCACATCCTAAAAAAGAAATAACTATGTAATTCATTAATTGAATCTATATTTTTATTATACCCCAGCATAATATTTAATACATTTAATAAAATTTACGTAGATTGGATCATTTCATATCAGAAACTTGTCCACAATAATTTCTTTAATCATAAAGTTTAAGCACAAGAAATATAGTATTGGGTTGATGACTAAAATCAAAATCATGATAAATGAAGTGTGATACTCAATCATCATTTCAACTACATAGTTTTTTATGTATATATCAATCTCTCTAGAAATATTCGTTAAAATTAAAATTAAAAAATATAATTTTATTTAATGCTAGAGAATTAATTATTAATTAATTAAAATTAAAAAATAATAGCAATAGTAATAGACCTGAGAATATTTTGGTTCTCAGGAGGATTGGATTCATTGCCCGCTTGGGTTTTGCTTTTTTGACTATTTGCCATCATACGTTGATCGAGGAAGTGAAAGAATCTGATTGACTGACTATAAAACGAGACCGAACCAAGAGAAGGTTCGGTTCTTGTGACTGCTTTCTTACGAACAATGTTTGAGTTTGCTGTTTCCTCAGCCTCCGCCGCCAACTCTGTCTACAGTCCCACTCTCTGTGCTTCGCTTTACTCCCGTTCTTGTCACCTAAACACCTCTTGTTTCAGTTCTCACTTGCTCGCAAAAACTGAGGTATTCTTTGTAATTTGACTCTAAAGTTTACTCCTTTTTATACTTGCTTTTCTTTTTGGCTTTTTAAACTTTTATCGGGCTTTACAATTTTTCAATGGTTTTGGTCTTCTACTGGGTATGTTCAGTTTCGTTCTTCTTTGTTGCGCTGGAGCTTTATTCCCATCAAAGTCATGGCGGAAACTGATACACTTTTAGTCCCTAAAAGTGCTTCTTCATCCTTTGCTGCTGGTAATTTCTATTGCTTTTATTCTCCTGCTTCATTAGTCTGGGTTTAATTTGCATTGAGCTAATTTATAATTTGTCTCATCTGTTATTAGTTTCATTTAGTTTTATTTAGTTTTAATACCCCAAAATTAGCGAATGCTCATGGAAATAAGGAGGTCAAAAGTACTAGAGCTCCACTGTTTGTTATGTTCTATTAGCTAAGTGCACTCAGCCACCCGCTGAATTTTGGAGACTGCAATCAAATGAGCCTAACAATTTACGGACCAAATTGTCAATTTACTCATTTACATTCTTTGTACTCAATCCAGTTCGTAGCTTTCTTCAACTGCATAGCTGGTTATGGTTTTACTGTAGAGTTTTAGGCTTTTATCCCTATACCATGTTTGCTGATACATTTTAAAATGCTTAGATCTATGTAGTATCCTGGTTGATCTTTGATTATAAAACTAAAATAATTTCTGGCTTGTTTTTGTTATTGTTGGTCTGAAGCAGGCAACAAGCAAGCATTAATATCATTGTCAGACAAGAAGGATCTTGCTTTTCTTGGGAACGGGCTCCAGGAACTAGGGTAAATTATATATTAATTTGTGCTCTGTTTTGTTTCTTTATGTTGAGATTTTAAACATCCTTTCTCTTATTCAAGTTTCTTTCTAAGAGCAACGTCATGCTTATCAACTTTGTAATGGTCCCTAAAATAAATTTTAGATATACTATTGTTTCAACTGGAGGAACAGCTGCTGCACTAGAGAGTGCTGGAGTGACTGTTACTAAAGTAGAACAGCTTACCCAGTTTCCTGAAATGGTGAGTATCCATTCTAGATTGAATTGCTTCTCCCAAATTCTTGTAACTAGTATGTTCTATCTTCTATTCATGTGTGTACACTTTCTTATGTGTTTAAGGTTTTCTACCTGATGTCCTCATCGGTATGCCTTCTCACATTTTAGTTTCTTATATAACTTGTGCAAACATATTGTTTTTGAAATAAATATTCTTTATGGGATCCATGCATGATTGAGTAATTTTAATAATTTTATAAATGATGTTTGAGTAAACAAATGCTGAACAAATTAGTGGGATTACAAAAATGGTGTTGATAGGGAAGAGATTCTTGCATTTGCCACATTATTAGGTTTTGTTCCATAAAACATATTGCATCTGGAGTTTCTTGTAACCAAATACTCATCTCTTCTACATTGAATTTTATATATTCACCATCTGATTGTCTAAAGAAAGTTGACAGCTTTTTCCTTTGTTAAATTATTAAGTTATAGATTACCACTGCATAAGAGAAGTAATTGATGCGAGAGTGGTTCTCTATTGCTCAGCTGATTATATTGTTTTGGATGCTCTCAAGATTAATGTTATCATAAAATTATCTTTTTATATTTTTGGCATGGAGTGATTTACGTATGATCATGCTAGGATTTCACTAGGCACAATTTTTTGTTGTTCACCTAATCTTGTCTTTACAAATCACAAGTTATAAATCATGGCAATACCTGTTCCTTTACTTAAATAATGTCAACCTGTGGCTTTTTAAATTCCCTGACTTTGTGATAATTCATGTGTTTTCTTGGATACTTGCTCTTTTTCTGGTTAAAGGATGGTGCTCAATACTCAACCTATTAGGAGTTTAAAATCCTATTACTCTCTTTTGCAATCTACATAAATGACATCAGTACAAGAATGTTTTGATTTTTCTTCACAGCTCGATGGTCGTGTAAAAACTTTGCACCCCAATGTACATGGGGGCATTCTTGCCCGAAGAGACCAAAAGCATCACATGGAAGCTCTTAATACTCATGGAATTGGTAAAATATGTTAACGCTATGAATACAATTACATGATGCAAGATATATCATAAGATCAAACTTTGAGTCCTTTCTATCCATTATGTTTATGTCAGTTATCTTTCTCTAATAGAGTTCTGTTTCAGGTACTTTTGATGTTGTGGTGGTGAATTTGTACCCATTTTATGATAAAGTTACATCAGCTGGAGGCATTGAATTTGAGGATGGGATTGAAAATATTGACATTGGTGGTCCAACAATGATTAGGGCTGCTGCAAAGGTGATTTATTTGATCGATAGGGCCAATATGTTGAACTTTTGGAAATAGGCGAAACTTATATGATATTAGAATCACTTTTTGGAATGTGCTTGGCCTTTTCGAATCCTTTTTTAAAGGTTGGCATACCTTCCTGAGTGGAATTTATGCTAGCAAAAAAATGACCTTATAATTAGAGCACCAATTTTGTTTTTACGTTGCATCCTCTTAATTCCCATCAAGGCAGGTTTTCTGTGATTGTCACTGCCTTTTTGTTTTTAAACTATTTCTGGACTTTTGATATATCAGTTGCATTGAGATTATATTGATATTTCAGGGAGTTAAATGTTTATCAGTTTAATGTTTTTAAGACATTTACTTTTTGCTTCTCAAACCTGCAAACTTAGAAGATGTATTCTACTTGCTGCATTCCCGTAAATTGCTTTTAAAGAAAGATATATGCTATAATGAAGCTGAACATCTCAGTTTTCCTTACGGAATATCTTATATGCAAGCTGATAAGTTATTCATGGAACAGAATCACAAGGACGTTTTGGTTGTTGTTGATTCAGAAGACTACCCTGCCCTTGTTGAATATTTGAAAGGAGACCAGGAGGATCAGAAATTCAGGATGAAGCTTGCTTGGAAGGCTTTTCAACATGTTGCTTCTTATGATTCTGCTGTATCTGAGTGGCTATGGAAGCAGAGTGTGGGAGGTGAGTATACCATAGGTTTATGTAAAAATATAATTGAACCACAACATTTATTTGTGAAGTGGGAATGAACATAAAATTACTATAATCCTAAGAATGCCTCATTAACACCCGCGAAACTTAAATTTTGAAGCACTTCCCCCCTTTTCATCACTTACCTCATTTTGGTGTTTGAGAAATGAATAAACTAAAACAAAATGACATGTTTCCCTTCTAGCAGCAGTATAGATAATATCCATTTATATTTATTGTGTAACTTACATATGTGGAATTGAGTATATGTGGC